TTCCTGATGGATTATGGGTTCTCAGGGTTTTTCGTCTTCGGCAAAACGTTCGTGCTGGATTCACTCCTCAGGGTTTCGCCTTGGGTATTTACTCCTTGGGGCTGTCGCCTTGGGTATGCACTCGTTCGGGTTTTCGTCTTGGGTTAAAGTTTCCTGCTGGATTCACTCCTTTTTCTCGCTCCGTGCTGTTCGCTGCCAGAGGCCTTCTTGCCCATGCACGAATTATCAGCCTTGGCTGGACGCCAGCCAGCAGGCTCCTTTGGAGCCGCTTTTCGGCTTTTGGAAGCTGGTGCCTGGAGGACGCCTCCTCTTAGGTAGACACGTCGCTCTCTTCGGCGTCTCTCACCATCCTCCTTGGAGCAGCCATCCTGAGCTGCCCAGCCTGGGACTCCGTTGTCACGTGTGGTAAAACGCCCTCAGCAAAGTGCTCAAAGAGAACCGGCAGCAGTTCCCTGATCCTCGCCTTTAACTGCCTTAGCAACTCAAGCTCGAGGCCACCCAACAGCCTTTCAAGGCCGCTGCCCCAGGGGGTTGGGCATGCTTGTCCAGCTCCCCAAGTCATAGAAGCAGACACTGTCATCCGGGTTCAAGCCCAGGTTGGATATCGTTATGTCTGCCACCCTGACAGCGCATGCCCCCAGCCAAATGACCACTGCAAGCAGGTAGCTCCCTGACAACCTCCGGAGTCTGGGAATCCAGCCACGGTGCGGCTTTCCTGTCCACCTTCTCCTAAACCAAGCAGTGGCGCACAGCATGCTCCGCGTGAGCGCCATGTCCAATGCGAACGTTCAGGGGGCCAGCGTGCAGCACCATAGCGTATAGCATTGTAAACTGGATGCCGGGTGCTATAATACTCCTCTGACCCATGGTCATAAGCAAAGGTCGTGATGTCGATCACGTACGAGCTCGGCCAGGAGTACACAGCGCGCTGGTTTCCCTGTCCCACCATTTGCATGGGGACCTGTCTTGGTGGGACCGCCCCCGTGACACTCACACTTGGACAAGCCTGGCAAGGTCTGTACGATACTGGTTCAACGAGTCATTAACGTTGCGCTCGGTACGTGTCACCCAGCACAACAAGCTGTCAGGCAAGGCCAGCGATACAACAACAGCAAATGCACAACAGCTAGGGTTTCAGGGCTGTCTGAAAGCAGCCCTCCCCACACCAGCAAACGACGTAAACCCGAAGGTCCCACGAACTAGGTTCAGACTGTGTGCAGGGCCTGTGAAAGATTCATTCCTTAGGGTTTTTCGTCTTCGGTCAAGTTCCTTCTGAATACACGCCTTATGGTTTTTTCGTCTTCGGGAAAAGGCTCCTGCTGGATTCACTCCGAGTCAAGAGTTCTTCTGGTTTGGTCCTCAAGCCACGCGCGCATGATTGTCTGAATGAGCTCGTTCCCTCCTCTTCCGCACAGGCGGGGTAGGTGGGGTAGGCCGGGCAGGTGGGGTACCTCGGGTAGGCGGGGCAGGTGGGCTGGGTGGGGCACGTGGGGTCAGTCGGAAAAAGGAAAAAAGTTACATCGAAGAGAATGAAGCTACATCTAAGAGAAAAAAGTTACAACTAAGCCTGCTACCTTTCCAGTGGGCCTGTACCGTCGGAAGGTTGCCTATCTCCATCGCCTGGTCAGCGCACTCCTCGGCCAGTTCGATGCACTCCACAAACATGACGATGCCCAAAAGTTTTGGGTTGAGAACCCTAACTGATAAGGTTTAGTTCGGGATAGTTCGGGAGTTCCACATACATATGACGGGACGTGAAGCACAAGGGTCTTGCAGTTTTGGTTTCTGGAATCGCCAATAGGGGCATTTCGAACTCAAGCATGGTGTTGTTGTGACAAAGACGGCAGCTGTGGAATGCAACGTCTTGATGACATATACACGTTAAAGATGGGATTCAGAATTCAGAGGATGCAAACGCTGCGCTAAGTGTTCCTGTATAACAACACTCGCTTGATGCGGGACAAGCCTTACATTGTGGAGGTTGGCAAAATCACATCAACCAAACCGAAGCGAAATCCAGTCTCCAACAGACTCTGACACAACATACATTGCCGGGACTCCAAGGTCCGAACAAAGCAGGATTCCTACAGAAGATGGAGGCTTCGAGTCACAAGATGCGAAAACAAACAATCTAAGGGACTGCACTGTACTGCCCGACAGGCGCTACCAGAAACAACATGCAATTTCGACTGAATGTGCTCTGCTTCCGCTCGTTTGTGACTGTGAGCATCGCAACACAGAAGGTCCGAAGTGGCTCCATCCCGCCGGGTGCATGTTGTGTGCGCGCACAGGGCGTGGGCATCAGGCGTTGCGGGCCTGCTTCAACAGATGTGTACCAACAAGCTGGGTGGGTTGGAGCTACTTAAATACTGTACAAATACTTCATGAGATGTCGCTCCCTCGCTCGGCCCACCACCCACAGTTTCTGTTCCGTCAGAGGCGCGCCACACTTTGCTCATCTTTCGTAAGGCAGGGACCAGGCAGGGAGTTGGGGAAGCGAATCCGAGTGGCTCGGTTCTTTGCGAAGAGCTGCTCCACGTAAGCGCCAGTGGCCTTCAGATTTCGTTGGCGTGCGCTGTCTGTTGTGCATCGCAAAGCATGGCCCCGCCTGCGGAACAAGCTCAGCTGCCTCAGGCAGATTCGGGAGCGGCGGTGGCGCTGGCGGCAGCGCTGGCGGCGGCGCTGGCGGCGGCGCTGGCGGCGGCGCTGGCGGTGGCGCTGGGGCGAGAGCCTTTCGGCTTGCAAAGGGAAGCTCGTCACTGAGTCGCAGCACCTTCATCTTGCTGGAGACTGCAAGCTGACTACCTGTGAGATCTCTCTAGGGCCTTGATTGGCTGTGCTACGCCGAGCTCGCTTGGCATGTCGACCGAAGGGACTTCAACCAAGGGCTCAGTCCTGCAACTTAAGTGGGAGGTCCACAGCCCAGCGCAGTCGAGGTGATGGCATGCGGAAGGCTATACTTTAAGCCCTCGCTATGTCGCTCGACGAAGTTAAAAACCCTAAACCCCTGAACCCTAAAACCGAAACCCGCAAAAACATAATTATGCAGCTTCTTCAAGAGATGAAAGTTGGAAACCACTGCATGCGCCCATTTCGTCCTTTGCGCTGCGCTCCAGGAGGCCTTCGAGGTCGCTAGGTCCACCTGAGATGCTGTCGTTCTTGTTCTGCTTCTTCATCTTCTTATCCTTAATTCTTACTCTTATGAATTATGCTTCTTTTTCTTATTCTTATTCTTATGTTGTTGATGCTTTGTTTCTTCAGGCAATGATATTACTACAAGAACTCTGTCGCTCATATTCATATTCGAACTACGCTTATACTATGTGTGTTCATTCAGGATTCATGTTCTAAATTGCATATCTGTTGCTATGTTGATTGCCGAAAGATTGGAACCATCTCTTTTGTTAAGCACCGACAGCATGCTCCTCTGTCTCGACTTCTACTCTTTTCTAGCAGTTTTCTCCCATGTCTCAAAATATTTAGTCCCTGTCGACTGTGTGGAAGAGAGAATCCATGCCCTAGTCGTCACACCGTCCATAGTTCCGTGCGACTTTGGAAGAGAATGTGCAGGCCTACCCGTGGTACCTGCAACAGGGCTGGTCTGCGTCGGGTGCCCCTGCAATGCGAAGTGCCAAGTATGCACGGATGATGTCTCGCCACAGTGATTGCAATGCAAGGAAATCCCGGCGCCAAAATCCCGGCGTTTTGGCGCCAGTGTTCTTCGGAATTGCGCCCGGCAGCTTTATGAACAACATGCGCGTTGTGGCAGAACCAGCTCTGACATGCAGTGACTTGTTCTGTTTTCGGTACATTAGCCGAAGAATGCTGCCCTGCTGCAAAGACGCCTACAAACACTTGCTGGAAAAGAAGAGAAGCCAACAGCGCCAGCACAACCATAAACAACTGGCTTTCGTACAAGTGCACAATAGCGTGCAGTGGCAAACCTGCCTGGCTGCTCATAATGACCCTTATAATGGTAAATTCGTGGTCTATCTTAAAGCTGATTGTAAAAGTCTGGGGGTGGGGCCTGCTTCACGGCCGCCTGGATGACCTCGCGGCCCAGTGGTCCAGCGCCGGGGCTCTCTTTGTAGCCGCCGGTGAGGTAAAACTCAAAATACCTCCAACAATGCTCATTTCAGTCGTCTCTTTGACGTGCAGAACAAAGAGAACCCGAATTAAACCCTACTCGTCCTAATCCCTAAACCGGCCCCCAAACCCTAAAGGGCCCGGAAGCTCTGACAGGTCACAGGCCGGGCACGGCCACGAAGGCAACGCCCAGAACCACCGCGAGGACGCTTTGGCAGCCCGAGGACGCCGGTCGTCGAGTAGGCATCGCGGGGAAGTGTGCAGTGAAGCTGCTCTTTCTAGACTCGGTTCGTGCTAAAGGTGTTATCTTAAGTTACCATCAGAGGGATCCTCTAAGGGTTCTAGAAGGGTTTAGGGCTACGGGAATTAGAGTGCTCTGTGCTCTCACTTCCGATTCATAGGGCCATATCTGGCCTAAAGGCCTGTAGAGTTTATGGACGATGCTCTGACAGCGGCATTTCCGGAGGCCATGACCGCGCATGTCATACTCACACGCCAGCTTCTTGAGGTCTTTGCGGCTTCGCAGACCTGGAACATAGTTTGCCTCTTCCGACTTTTGGCTTTTCACCCTACGTGTCCTGGACCACGGGGAACTAAGCGATTTTATATAGACAATATGGTGCCCCAAAAAAGGTTAACGGTTACCTACTCTACTCTACTACCAAGTCATGATCCCAAGAAACCTTACCGCGCTTTCCGAGGTCTCCATACCGTCGCACCAATGGCTCGAAAGATACCCATGCGCTTCGGCTTTTTGTCACGCTCACCGTGACAGCTGAGCCAGCACTGTTCGCCGGAGGATTGAGAGAAGCATCAGTTCTGTGGCTTTCAGAATGTTTTTTCCAAGGTCACAGCGAGAGCTTCTCGAAGCAGATGGACTGCAACCCTGATGCGGCGACCACCGAGGCGATGGCGCCAAATCCAAACTCCGGAATGTGCGGGTGGAAGCCTCGCCGGCATCAGATGTGCGCAGACTCTCTGCAAAAAGGAATGCGCCTGATCACACTCACCGTCGGTCTGTGAGTGCGGAATGGCTTGGTGGTGCCCGGAGACTCGAGGACGTGCGGAAGTTTCTGAGCAAACCATTCAAGCCATTTCTAGAAGCTGAGATGTCTCTGTTAGTGGTGCCACATCCCCAGTCACAAGAAGCAAGCCCTGCCTTGCTCGTGTGCTTCTTTCAAGACTTCCAACCATCGCCTCGGACGTCGCAAGGAGAGCAGCCACACGCTGCTTTTTTCGTGCGTGCACGCCTTATTTAAACAAGTCTGAACAGCAGCTGCTTGTGCATGGCACCTAGGCGAAGCCCTCGGCATGTATGGAAGCTCCATTTTTACGACACAGAACGACTCCAACTCAAACTGCGGGGGGGGGGTAGGATTTCGGAACCCATTGCCGTGCAACTGCACCACGACTCTTATCGGAGTCTCTTGCTTAGTCTCTCTGCGCCCCGAAGCTAAGCCCTGAGGCCCCAAACCCCGAACCCTTCCAGGACCCCCAAACCACACGAGATTCTGACGACTGGCTACATTTCCTCTACGAAAGGCTCAGGTGCCCACGATGTCCAGGAGGAGGTGGAGGGCGACCGCAGAATCTTCTCAGTGTGGTCCAAGGCCTCATGGAATAATGAGCCCCGGGGTTCGGGGGTTAGAGGCAGGTATTATTTTTTTAATTGTTATTACGATTATTATTATTGTAACTATAATTATTATTTTTTGTGATTATTATGGGAGGCCTCGCGGCCCCTAGCAGTGGGCATGTAGGCGAGGGGTTGACAGATGAGCTTGCAGTCTCTACCCATAGGCTCCTCAGTAGTTCCTTTTTGGGCTTACCTTATAGGATTCTTTATCCATAAACCATAAAAAGGAACTACCTAGGGGCCAATGGGTAAGTGCCAGGATCCCCCCGGCTAGGCATCTGCTGCTGCACCCATGCACACGCTTGCAGGACAGGCGGAAGTTCTGAGTTGATAGAAATCACAAGTCACGCATCTAACTTTCAACAGTACGTGGGCCGACCTATCTCGCCATCATGATATGTGTGGATGGATGGATGGGCGGATATGTATTAGATGTATGTATGTAAGTATGTATGCATGCATGCATGCATGCATGCATGCATGCATGCATGCATGCATGATTCACGTACCTATCTAACATTCATCTTTGACCATCTACAGGTTCCTTGTTTTATGCGCGTATACTGAGGCCGATGCGTGTGACTGTGATTCTTGGGGCAAGTTTTACGAGAGCTTCAATCATTTCCCTGTCGCTGGTTGAGCAGCCAGGCCCAGAGACAAAGCTCTGTTTGCTCCGGCGGCAGGTGCTCGTACTCCATGCCGCGGCTTCCAACCTCAGAGGCGTCACAAAACAAGCACTGGCAAAGAGCCACAGCCAGTCAGAGCGAGCTCTGTACAATCTGCACTGGTCCAGGAACTCTCGCATTCTCATGCTTTTCGCCAGTTGAACGAGTGTCCCCGCCACCCAAACTCAATTCGAGTGAAACATAGTGAAACAGTGGCATGCGCTAGCTACAGATGCAGAGACGCAGCTCAGCAACATCCAAGGACAATCTTCAAACAGCACACCACACGAATAGATTCCATATGGGCTTTTTGTCAGCCTGTCATGTCGCTGAGGGCCCATTCTCAAGTGCTGCATGCGGGCTCACGTCGGCGATGGCTTGGCCATTTCCGGGGCCCTCTTCCAACGCAGGGGTCTCTTCTTCCTCGTAATGTGTTTCCAAGGCAAAGACAGGCTCGGCGGGATCCAGGGCGCGCGAGAGCCCTTCCAGCTTCCGCTGCCGCGGCTCGACATTGGCCATGTCCACACGCCGCTCGGCGACCCAGTTCTTGAGCTCTTCGCCCGTAAAGTCCAAGACTGTGCAAGTGTCTTGGATCGCGGTTTGGAACTCCTCGAAGAGGCGCATCACAGGCATCTCCTGGTCAGGATTAGCCGAAGTGGCGACACGACACTTCTTCATGATGCGCGCCGTGGTGGCAGAGTCTACGCCGAAGCGGTAGAAGTCCTCCTTCTTCACGGGAGCCCAGCTGGGAAGAGCTGGCTTCTCATCTGAGGAGTCGAAGAAGTCGATGAGATCATCGTATGGGATCCGAGCGATGCGCTTTGTCTCAGGCTTCAAGGCCGGCAGCACCCGCAAAATTTTGCTTCGGGGCCCAGATCTGGACTTCACAAAGCGCAGCAGCATGCGCAGGTCGTAGCTCCGCTTCCACACCAAGTCCTCCAGCATGGCCAGGAACTGTTGGGGAAGCGTTTGCTGGGCCCTCCCACGCTTCTTGCGCACCTCGCGGTGGTGCGAGATCAGGATGGCTGAGATCATGCTCATCATCAAGATGATGATGCAGATCAGGTAGGCTGATCCCCAGAGCAGAGTCGAGATGGGAGCGATCTTGTACATTGCTCCCAGATCGCCCTGGCCGAAGAGGATCGAGATCGTGGTCATGATCGCCTTCTCAATGGAAGACCAGGCCTCAAGCTCAGGGCCGAAAACCAAGTAGCCTCCTAAGGCAAGGTTGCAGAAAGCGACGGCAACCATGAGCCCCAGGTGCCCGAGATCGGAAGCTGCTTGGCCAATCGTCCTCCCGATCATGGCAATGCGTGGCTGCCCCGCAAAGCCCCGGAAGAAACGCAGCAGGATGAGCGCCACGTACCAGAACATGCCGAGCCGATGGTAGACGCGCAAGAAGATCATCAAGTCCACGTCCTCCTGGAACTGAGCCTGCCAACCCTCCTCTGTCACATCTTGCGCATACTTTCGCTCCGCCAAAACCTCCGGATCGATCGGGATCAGCGTTGTCGTGGGGACGTACTGGGACAAGGCCACCGGCAGGTTGGCCATGTGCTGGTCCAAGCCGTCCATCCCGGCATTGTAGACAAAGAAGAAACCGAGCAGCGTGGAGCCAACCAGCATGCTGGCCCAGTCCACCAGCAGCCAGAAGCTGCCACAACAGCGGTGCGAGCAGCTGCCGGAGCCCTCTGCCATTTCCTGGAATGCCAGGATGAAGAGCAGCACGATGAGCAGGCCCCAGACCACGTCCACGACGATCTCCAGCGCAGAAATCCACACTTGCGTCGGCAATGACCGGACTTCCAGCAAGGGCTGCACCAGGCCACCGCGAACGAAGTTGATGATCAACTGCACATGAATGAAGCTCCTGATGTCCGGGTTGAGAACCGTGACGGACACCTGCAAGTAGTCCGTGGCATCGTCCAGCCATCCGTGAGACTGCAACTCCCGGGCTCGTAGAATGCCGTGGATATCCATCCCGCTGTTGTTGGACTCCACGCGATGGATCCGAAGAAAAGCATAAAACAGCTCCTCCGGATTGGGCTTCCATGTCGGCACGGCCACCTGGATGCTCCCTCCGGCAACGAAGGAACGGTCGATGAAGTCGGGGCCAGTGTTGTTCACCTCGGGGCCGAAGCGAAGCGCCAAGGAACCCGCGGACCGGCAATCGGCCCTGAAGTACTGGCGAAGCTCATCCACCACCGGACAGTCCACATCTGCTACTCGCCGTTGCCGCAGCTGGATGCCCGGACGGATCACCTGATTGAACTTTCGCAGGACACCTGGCTCCTCGTGGCTGCCTGCGAAGAGCGGAATGAAGCCGTCGAGCATCCAGGTCCATACCTCCTCCATCACACTGATGTTCGCGAGGCGAATCCTCTTTGCAACTGGCTGGCCCTGCAGCGACGAGATCTGGTGCTGCACCTCGATCCCCTCGATCGCATTGCGGATCATGCTCTGAGCTCGGGCCGTCTGCTCGACGTTGCCATGCGACCATGCCGTGGCCGTGAAGACGAACCAGATGCAAACGGTCAAAGGCAAAGTGCCACAGAAGCGGACCCGGGCCCGCTCGGAGATCAAAAAGTCCTGTACCTGCTGGCGGGTCAGAACCTCTTCCTCCACCTTCTTCTGCGCATTCACGGCACTGGACATCTGCCGCTCCTTCAGATCTACCACGGGGTCATCCTGTAGCACGGCCTGTGCCATGTCAGTGCTTCGGCGGCTCGTTGGCTACGGCCTACGGTGTGCGGCTCCCCTGTAACCAGCGATGTAACCAGCTTACAAGGCTTATAAGGCCCTAATTACATGCAACAAATGAGGCCAACTAAGCCACGACCTCTGATGGCAGACTCCTTGAGCACAAAATGCGACCAAGGCACGGGCATTCATGAATAAGTCAAGAAATGCATGGGTCAATGCGAAGAGCCAACTAGGAACAAACATATGATGGCCAGGTGGATGCATTAAGAGAGCACGAGAGACAGAAAGAGAGAGAGAGAGAGAGAGCAAGACTCGCAGAGAACGTGCTTTTGTAAAGGACTGCCTGTGCATCTGCAAGCATATGTGCCTGCGGGTGCATATGCAGAACCCACAAGGAGTGCCAGAGCGTGAGGAAGAGCGTGTGCGAGTGTGTGTGCGCGTAGTTTGCGTACGACATCGTGACAGCATCAGGCCACAAAGCCCGTGTGCTTCCGTGCCAACATCTTTGAGGTGACAGGCTTCTACGACACAGCCGTACAGCAACGACCAAGCAAATCCTGTCAACTTTGGAATCGCTGTGTGCCGTGCCAGGAAAGTGTCGAAGTCCGACACAACCTCATTGCAAACTGGCTATTCCGTCCCGGGCTTTGCCAGATGCGAATTTGAATGATGAGGGTTCATCGAGAATGCGTCGACCCCTTGAGGCATCTGCCGGCTTCACCGTGTTCTCTGCATAGGCGATGAGTAGGCCATGTGGGTTCATTGGGTTATCCTGCGCTGTCGAGCTGTGAACGCCCTTGAAACGTGACAGCTCTGGAGACTTCATGGCTGAGGGTGTGGAGATCGATACTATGAAACCGTCCTAGAGCTAGCACCAACATCAGATTCGGAGCTCACCCCAAGCCCTAAAACCTCTCTCCTGGTCGAATTGGTAAAGGACCACCTTCGGCCGGGAGGTGCCTCGCAACGCCTGGAGGTTCATGTCCATGAAGGCCTCAAAGCTTCTTAAGTAGAGAGCTTCGGCTTCTACATGGGGGTTTGGGGGTGTCAAGGAGGTTACGGCCTAAGGCGGCATGTCGCTGCGTGGTGCTCTCTGCCCCCATCCTGCTTGTATCGCGTCGTGTCGTAGTGCTCTTTACCACTATGCTGCTTGCAGCATGTCGCTTCTTGGTGCTCTCTGCCCTATCCTGTTGATAGCGCGTGATGCCGTCTGCTCCCATCCTGTTTATATCAGTGCTCTTTCTCAATCTTGCTTGCAACATGTCGCTTCTTGGCGCTGTCCGCCCCTGCGTCGTGTCTTGGTGCTCTATGCCCCTGTCCTGTTTGCGTGCATCGTTTCTTGGTGCTGTGTGCCCCTATCCCTGTGCAGAGCCTCAAGGCAGCGTAAAGGATGAGAGAACATAATGTGCAGGGTCTTTGTAATATCTGTGATTTCAAGGCGTTACTCAGTCAGTATGGATGCGAAAAAAGGAACTACAGTGACAACTGCTGGACTTCTGCAGCAACCAGGGGGTCCATGCCCCATTGAATTGGAAAGATCGCTCGAAGCAATGATTGCTTCTTAAGGCTTCAAAACGTAAACCCTAAACCTGAATAGGTCTTAAACCCCAAGCCCTGAACTACCCTAAACCCTAAACCCTATAGAACCCTTAAAGCCTTGAAGCCTGAAAGGAACCCATAAAGCCCTTATAGGAACCCTTTAAGACTCTACTAAAGGAAGCCTTAAAGGAACGCGCAACTTGGGAGCGAATCCCGAGGCCACAGCGGGCTCTGAAACGCGGCCTGCCCGCTCTCTGTGGCAAAGGAGCGCTTTCAATTTTAGGGTTCTTATAACATTTCAGAAGGTTAGTTATGGGTCTATAATAGGGGTCTTATAAGACTTTTCATACGGTCAGTGCTGGGTTCTTATGTGATTCTACGGGCATAGTATAGAGGTACGTATGAGATTTTTATAGGGTTTGCAGCAGGCCTCATGATGAAGACGAGGGCTTGGGGCTATGATACTATGTAGCGGAACAAGGACTGTACGGGGCCCGGGGGGGGAGGGGCGGATGCTCCAAAGGCATGAAACAACTTGGACGTCTTCAAGGGCTGCAAAGAAGAAAAGAAAGGGGCTTCTTAGAATAAAGAAAGGGCTTCGTAGAATAAAGAAACAGGATTTGAGATCCCTTTCGGCTTTCCCGAAAGCTCACGTGACTTTGTAGCCTGTCTCCCATCCGACGGCTGGCTGGATGTCAGGCCTCGTTTGCTCGTGAGAAACAAAGCTTTAAGCAATCTTCACATCGCATATGCTTTCTCAGAAGGAAAAAGGGGCGTCACACTGCGGAGTTTGAGGCCCGAGCTTGAGGATGAAGGCCTGCTGCACTACGGCTTCAGGCCTCAGGCACGGCAGCGGCATGCTAAGGCTGGGTGGAGAGGCTTTCGGCGTTGAGTCTTTCAGAGTCCCAGAACTCTACTTGTAGGGAGAGACGAGACGTGCTCATCGCCCAGGAGCTGTAACCCCACCACCCAGCAAAGAGATCTCAGCAACACTCGCACGAGAACTCCCGAAGAGTGGAACAAGCAGCTGACGTGGGACTTCTAAGTCTCAGCTTGTAAACTACTGCAGTCTTTTCTGTCCGCCTTTTTTGTCCTGTACTTCATGAGAAAGCCGAAGACTTGAGCAAAGGATCAGGAGCCCTCCGTCTCGCTTGTGACATTCAGCTCCTTCTTAAGATCGACATCGACTTTCAGGGATAGAACCTCGCCGGTTGCATTCATTTCAAGACAGACAGTGGCAAATTGCTGAGAATCCTGCCCGCAGAACTCCCGGGCAGAAGTATTCATCAGAGCCAGTGTCCTCCTAGTCGGCGGCACGTAGGTGCTGGGGTCCTGGAAGACGACAATCGCGTGGCCATCTTCTCGTATTTCGTTGTGAAACCAATCCTTCACGTTAGGAAACTCCTTCCCGTGGTTGAAAACGTGCACAGATTTCGCGACCTCGAGGGGCCTGTCACCGCCGTAGCGAAACCATTCCGTGGGGGCCATTATCGGCGGATTGGATTCGGACACAAACCGGTGGCGCAGAGCGCCGTCAAAGGCCTTTCCCAAGGCACCTTCGGCAGCTCTCTTGAGTGTGCCTGTACTTTTATAGGCTTGCACATGTTGTGCAGCAGGTCCGCCATGTACGGCTGCAACTCCCACCGCCATCCCAACTACTTTCAGTATCAACGCATCACGGATGTCGCCTGTCAAGTCGTTTATAATCTGGTTCTAGGCGAAAGTCCTGTCGATGGGATCCACATCTCCCATGGGATCTCTAGCCGGACAAAGCCCTTCGCGGTCTTTATCCTCGATCCGTCGCCCGCCATCGTTGTTGATCATGAGAAAGCCGATAGTAGGTGTGCAGAAGTATGGACTCGTCCAGCAGCACCGCGGCTCCGATTCCTTGGGTCCCCGGTGCCACCAGAACGGCCGATCGGGTCTCATCTGCTTCAGCATCTGGCAATCCGAATGTTTCATGCTAACCGTCTTTCCAGCCCTCCGGAGCGTCTTATGGATCTTCTTGTGGCGCTTGCAGCAACAGACGTCTTTGTATTCAAGAGTCCCTGCCGCAGCTGTCTGCTGCTGAAGAGCGAGTCGCGCACCTTCCACAGACACTCCGCATATTAAGGCGACGAAGAAAGCGGAGCGCATCGCGGAAACTCGAACATGTAACGGCCTGTGCGCTGGCACAAAGACCGTAAAACCTGATCTGAGAGTTGAGCAGTTTGGCAGACTTGAGCCACAGAGACCACAGTGTCGGATACAAAGGTTCAGAGTATTTGCTTCTATATTCCAAGAACTGACCTCAACAATGAAAGTCATGTGGAAAGATATCGTCATGTCTGGTGGCGGGCTTCTCTTAAGTGCAACTGGACATCGCAGATGTCTGCCAGGTTTTCGAAGATTCGTGCATACATAGTTTCACCCGCTTCACATCTGCTTCGTCATCTCCGAAGCTTAAAATGCGGAGCTGCAGAAAAAGAGGACGCCACCAGAGACACCGACCTTCATCACGCATTGTTCGCTAATCGCCAGAGTGCACTCAAGACTCCGCAAGCAACACAGGTGGGGAAGTATGGTGTCCATCGTCCACTGACTGACTCACTGACATCAAGGTCCAATCTTGGATCCGCCTCTCAAACAAACATCACTCTGGTACAAACCCCAAAGGGGCCGCCAACTTGGAGAACTACCCACATAATGCGACGGCCTCAGTCTACAAAACCCTTGGACCCCTGCTAGAAAACCAAAAAATTCCTCTTGGGCTCACATAATAATGGGTGTGACATGATTCCTGTTCGGAACACCCGGCAAAGGGCACTGGGCTGCCGGACGCATCCAGGCCGGGCACGGATTCATAGTGGTCCAAGAGCCGAATCTCCGGATCCTGGTCAGAGCCCCGAGGCTGAGGAGCGTCGTCGAACCGGTTTTGCCGAAACCCGGGGCAGGGGTTACCGTAGGGGTTTTGGTACACTTCTGCATCGTCATGGGTTAGGGGTTTTTGGGGCTTTTCGGGGTGTAGGGCTTGGGGTATCGAAGGGTATGGGTTTCTGCCAGGCGGGGTTCTTGGTGCGGGGTCGGTTGGAGGTGGAAACCCATGTTTGAGGGTGGACGACAAACTCCGGTAAGATCATAACACTCTCGAACTTACGTCAGAGTGTGGTTGCCACAGTACCCGGTGTGGTTGCTGCATGGCGGGATGCCGAGGTATGGCTGGGCTCCTGCAGTGAGATGTACCACGACTGATGATGTCAACGTGAGATGAGGCTAGGCTTAGGGTTTTGGGGATGGGGGTTTGGGCGGAGGGTCTTTTTTTCAAGTTTGCGGGGGTTTGCGCTACGGCCAAAAGGGTTTAGGTGTCGACCTTGCGGGGGGTCTCTTGGGGGTTCTCACTCGCTGTCCTGCATGGGTGAGCTCGTCTCCAGGAGTGCTTGCAGTTGAACCATGGCCTGTCAAAGGAATGAGTTTAAGGTTAGGGTTTCAGCACTTTGCCTGGGTTTAAGGCTTAGGGTTTAGGGTTAAGGGCTCTTCAGGATCGAAAGGTTTGGGTTTTTGCTTTGGGGGTTTGGGGGTTTAAGGCTTAGGGGTTTCAATTTCCTGTGGAATACAACGATTCACCATGGCTGGGCTCACCCTCTCTTGTAACTCCTTGCTTCCGATGATCATGACCGCTTGTCGATGCTTATGTTGTTGTGATTAGTGCTATGTCCACGTCGCCTGGGACCTGTGCTGGCCGTGATGCTGCAGTTTTCGAAGCGATAGGGTCGATTGTCGAAGCGCGATTGCCATTCAGCTGGAGACGTTGGATGACGCCTTCACCCAGACAGAAACGCAATTGAAAAGGAAACGCTGACCTTATACCCCATCCCAACCAAGGGAAAAAACACGTCCCAAGTCTCGGACGCTTTGGCGCAGCATTTCCGAGGCAAAGTAGATGCAAACACGGGCGTCTGGTGGGGACCTCATGCAGAACTCATGCCTGCTGTTGAATCATAAGTACTCCCACTTCTGCAAGCTATCTCTAAAATGAGAGAAAGTCCCTGTCCATGTCATCTTCCGGAAAAGGTCCCGGCGTTTCGATCTCGGACTTGTGGCTCTCCTGGTGCTTGCAGCAAAACACAGAAAGGTGTCTCTTTTGTCCGGGGTCACCTGGCTGATCTGCAGGAAGGGCACGAATCCCGAGAGCCGATTCCTGAGCAACAGGGACATCAAGCAGGCTGCAAGGAGCCGCGTTGCCAGAAAGCTGGGGCTGGAACGGCATCTTGGCTGACTTGCCTTTGACGTTCAGCCCCTTGCCAACCTGCGCTTGGAAACTCCAAGGAAAGCGAAACACTGACCGTTTTACCGTTTTAACCTGTCTTCTGCGGCGATGCGCCTTCCATTCCCGAACCCACTGAACCCACGGCTGCTCTTTGTTCAGCACTCCGGGCTCCCGCGCAGCCGCGCCGCTCAGCATCTTGGCAATCGCATCACGGGAGGTTGGACGGTACACGGCGAACCTCGGCTCAGAAACTAAAGCAAAACCTTGAATCTTGACAGGCAGGTGTGGCCTTGCTCTGTGCTGCTGGCAGCAGTGCAGCCTTTCCTCTCTCGCATGACGTGGCATTAGCCTGGCCTGGCTGTGCCACAGGTCTGCTGTCCAAGGTGAAGCCAGATGCTGCCAAGCTGGCACTCACCAGATCAAGTGCTCCCGAGGTGGAAGTCTCTGATCAGTCGCTTCACACCTCTTCCGCCATGTCTTTCTATTTCTCCTCTGTATCTGGGAGTTGGCCTCCCTGCTCGAGTCCGCTAACACGGAAAGCAAAAGACTCCCAGCAAAAAGCAGCACATCTGAATCTGAGAGTGACTGAGAGAGTCCCCAGCAGTACAAACGAACTCCGTCCTCTCAGGTCTGGGCCAGGTGCTCGCGTCCGGCTCCAAGCCTCGGAGCGGCTCGCGTCTTCTGTTGCAGGCGCAGCGCAGACGCAGCGCAGCGCCACACACGCAGCAAGAGAAGACAAAGACCGTAAAAATGTATAATATGCTCCGCGGCTCGTAAAGAGAGAAAGAGAGCCCGCCGGCTGAGGCCGGAGCCGGTGCGCTTCTCTTTGCAGACGCCTCTTTGAATTGCGGTGCTCTGGAGACACTGCGCCGCACTGCGCTGGGCACGGCCTGCAGGGCCACTCTGGTCACCCGGGAGGTAGAAGTCAGCGATGCTGCGCCTGTTGCCCAAGTGCACTATACCACTACGCGCGGTGCATCTTGGGCTCGGTTTGATCTGGGAAAGTTCCGTCGGAACCACGTCTGACGTCCTGCTGGCACCCGGTTGACAATCTGCTGGAGGCCGCTAGTTCAATTCGTAACTAACTGATAATTCGATTCAGAGCATGATTTTTTTTCTGCGGGGCGCGCCAAGCTTGGGTTGGGAATCTTCGGCCGGTAGAGGTGAACTCCTCAGTGAGTGCGCACGTGTGGCACGGGGGGTTAAACTAAGTGGGAGTAGGATTATGAACCCCGCCGTGGCCCCAACAGTTTCAACAGACTACGTACAATGACATTATCAACCCCATAAATACAAAGGTTATAACACTCTCTGTACTGCCGCATGACTATGACCTCCTTGCACTAGCCCCCTGAGTCAAACGCCACAAAAAAAACTTCCCTGTAAACCCTGATGAACCCCTGCCTAAAACCCCGTTATTACTATTATTGATACTATTATTACAATTATTGTTATGTTATTATTATTTTATTATTATTCTTATTATTATTTTTATTCGTATTATTACTGTTATTATTGTTATTATTAGTAGTATTATTATCAGTTCCACCTTGGATCACACAGGTAGTGGATCTTCTGCAGCTGGCTAAGGGGCCCGAGCCTCGGCAAAGCGTGTCATGAGGGCTTTGAGGCAGGGCTTTATGTCATTGGGTTCCATAAGAGGCTTCTAAAAAAAAGGCTAGCTCAGGGTTTCAGGAAAGCATTGAATCAGAGTTTACCACGGCAACATGAAGGCTTCTGAATATTGAGTAGGGGGTCCGAGAAAGGTTTCATTAGACTGAGTTTAACGAGCACTCTAAGGTTTGGACTTGCGTGGAGACTCCAACAGATCTTCAGATTCAGTAGGCGCCCTCAACTGACGCGTTGGAGTCTCTTGTCAAGCCTTACCATGCAATGTACGTCTCCCCAGACGTCTAATAATTAGTTAGAGGGATTGCGAGGGGTTCCTGGTCATGCTTCAACTTCGCAGGAACCTGAGCGAGCGGCCTTTTCAAGCGGCGTCGCTAGTTGCAGCTACAGCCTTCCACGCCCTGTACTCCGCTCCCCTGCGCCGACGGGCCCATTGTCGCGAGGCAAAGTGCCGCGTGTAGGCATCGCGGAGTGCAGTCCGAGGGCTTTCTTCGTTCCCCTTGCTTTCGAGGCAGCTCTTTGGGCATCGGAGCAGTTCCAAGGACCACTGAGCGTAGGAAGTGTTTCCAAAAAGCTGCTGGCAGGCAGAGCAATGACGCTCCGAGGCATCTTCGCGGAGTTCCCTTGGGGCAAAGATGGATTCCAAAAGCAGCAACGCCAATTCGGCTGGGGAGGGCCAAAAACTCCCGTGAAGCTCTCTAACCTGCTTCTGCAGTTCCTGCAGCTTCTCGCAATAGTCCCGTCGAACGGAGTCGGAGTCTTCCTGGGGTGGAGAGCTGCAGCTTCGCAGCAGTGCCTCGACATCACCTTTGGGGGAGGCCTGTCTCCCTGTCTCCTCTGCCTCTGCCTCCTCTGCTGCCTCCTGCGTGCATCTGGCGCATGCGCAGTGGAAGCCCCAGCCCTCCCGGAGCTCCTCCTGGCGCTCCCTGCGAGGCTTTAGTAACACTCCGGTGCTCAAGTAGGAGGTGGTGATGGGACTTCCCGCAGAGATCGGTCGCAAGGCTGTGAACCACAAGCTTTCCCCGTCGTGGACCAAGGCACAGTTCGGATCGCAGGAGTGTTCGCAAAGGGCCATGTGGAGCCAAAGTCCACACACGACGTCGTGAGACAGTGAAGCTTTTGCACCTGCGGGAGTTTCTATCCACCTCCAGCACGGGCGTGACACGGTGAGTTGACGCCAGTTCGGGACGACGTGGGCCCATGCCTGCTCAAGAAACGGAACAGTCACAGCTGCAGCTACGTCCGGCCGCCACTTCTTGTGCCATCGTCGGATCATCGGCACCCGCGGAGGCGCTTCCGGGAATTGGTACAAGGACATGAGCAGCTCCTTTTCCGATTCCGACTCCGGAAGTGCGAGAGCGAGAGATGACAGGAAGTCGAGAGCAGCCAACATCTCAACCGACTTGACCTCCTCGGCCTCAGACCCGGAGCCCGTTGCTTCGGCGAGGTGTCGTCCCAGGCTCGACCCATGTGGCAGGACGGGAAGATCTTCTATCCTCTGCCCAGCAACAAGGTCCACGGCTGCTTCTAGGCATCGTCCACGCTCCGCCGTGTCAATCAACCTGAACTGCTCCCTCGAAGTTTCAGTTACCCTCTCTGCAAGCTTCGCATTGGCCATGGCTCACCGGTACGAAGAAAGCCTTGAGCCGACCACAGGCTTCGGACCCTTTCCCTTTCGACTCTTGCATCAGGCAAGTTTAGTTTAGGGACGTCGTCTGAGGTTGAGATTAGAATGGCGAGGGATGCTGTGGGGCGTGCCTCGAGGTGCTCACCGCTGGGAACTGTGAGGGTTTGTATGGGTGTAGGGGTCACAAGAGTCCAATACCCCACTTTCACCGCCTTGGCCCGACTGGCCAACCCGTCGACAACTCCATCATCGGAATTGCAGACAAGGTCAGTCTGATCATACTCCTCGGTCGCTGAGCCTTGTACATTCGCTCGAAAGAATCCCGCCGAAGGGCCAGCACCTGCAAGACATTTCAGGGTGTCAGTCGGCTCTGAGCCCGAGACCCTTTAGGAAATGTCCAGTTCCTTGAATCATAAGCATACAAATACATACACTGCATGACATTACCCCTACATTACATTACGTTACATTACCTTACCTTACCTTATCTTACCCTGGCCGTACCGTACCAATACATTACATTACACTACATCACACTACACTTTACAGACAGACAAACAAACCTGTATACGGAGATGCATACATACATTATATACACTACACACGCATAACCTTACACACACACACACACGTAACATTACATTACACTACATTGTGCTACAATACACTACATTAAATTCATACACATGCCTGTGTATTCTAGTCATGCACGAAATTGTTAATGCATCTGTTCGTTTGTTTGCTTCATGTACGCATGTATGTATGACTGTACGTCTGCATGTCTGTATGCATGTGTATGTCTGAATGTAGGTACGTGCTTCTTTGCTCATCTATACTATACGTATTTGTGATATTCGACCACATTCCCTTATCAAGGAGTCTTGGGCTCTGCGATAGCCAAGCGCCTCGTGTGACATGAGGGGCTCGTGCGAGCCTCCCCCCCCCCCCCCCCCCCGACTTCATCCGCACATCGGTTGGTGGCAAACCCCAACACCACGGCAGCTTGTAGCAGCGTTAAGGTCGAAGGATCGCAGGACCTGTGCCGAGGCCTGGTCTCCCTCTTCCCGGTTTTTGTCAAGGTATGGTCATCCGAGACTCGGGGTTCATTCGAAAGATAAGCTGGCTGCCTTCCTCTGCGAGCAGAGAGAGCCAGAAGATGACTCTCAATTCTACGCAGTTCCAGCGCAGGAGCATGCTGGATTATGGAAAACAGCACCTGCAGGCACCATTCCAACAACAACGCTAGTAAAACTACTACAATCCACAACAATACTCACAATAAACCGCCTCTCAATGATGATAACTAGAATTGCCGTCATCACACAAACAATACACTAGCTATGTTGTATGCTCGGGATGATACCTCGCCTCCACCTTCGTGGCTGCGGACACCGTGGCGCAACGCTTTGTCTTCTCCAGCAAAGCCTGCGAGCTTCCGGGCTTTCTGGGATTTTGGACAAAAGGGTTTAGGATTTTATGGCGCGGAAATGCGAGGCAGTCGAGTTCTGCACAACCACGACAAAATTGCAACACATTCGCACATTCAAGATTAAAGCAATACAAACGTGGGAATGCATGCAGCCGCAACACACTCGCACTCACATGTCTAGAATAAAACGTACACTACAATACAACGCATGCGTAAGACCCTGCATTCGCAGGGTTACGTGATATCTGCCTTTCAACCTGGCCGAAAAACCTGTCAGCCAATCTCAGTGCTTCGCTTCCTGTGCTGCGCTAACTCACCAACAGGTCACGCAACCAACCTCTGGCGTGTTTCTGGCTTTGGCCGTTTTCGCCGAGTTGCGAAAATTCGAGACTTTGGGATCTCCCTCGTGCCGGAACCGGCGAACACAGCCAGGCGGAAGATTCTGACAGAGGAGGTGTCGCATAAAACCCGCTCCTAGCTCCTGTTGAAGACCCTCGGAGAAGCACCTTCTCCCCGAACATGTCTCCCGCGTAGCATCGCTTGCACTCCTGCGCAGATATCTCGTCGATATAGGGAAATAGGAATGCACAGAGAGCCAACACCGTGAGTCGAGCGAAGTTGTAAGGACATGCGAAACCAGTTGGAAACATTAAGAAATGTGTTGATCTCATATTGGTGGCGAGTAAATGGAATCCATGATAGCACTTTCTTCATGTATCAATCACAAGTGTATACGTTCAAAAAGTTACTTCACTATCAGCTACTACAGTCTCAACTTACTTTGTTTGAATACTCGTCTGGTATTCACGCAGTGGTCGAGCCACTAACAGAGGACATGAGGTTTACCGTATAATTCAGTGGTATAGACGCTTATGTAACTCGTACGTGCCTACATATTTGATTGATAGCCACCCGGTGTTCAGCCTTAAAGTTGCATATGCAAGCGTGACGATATCTTCATCTAGAACACGGGCAAAGATTCAAAGTAGCAAAAGAAAAGGAAGTGAGGAACGATCCATCTGCGACAAGATGGCCGAAAACAATGCCTAACAACCAACAAAAAAAAGACCCGACAACAAAGCCAACCGTAATGCCGGACTGCAAACTATTTTGGGGGAGATAAGGGGCTGAGGTGCGGTCTCATGGAATTCCGGCTTGTCTGTACACGTCTGGAACTGGGGCTTTACAAAGAGAGCACATTGCTGCGCCAGCCTCCAAATCAAGCGCACAGAAAGAGAAAAGTAGGCATAGCATGTCCGTCCGCGTGTATGAAGAAACTTCCTTATGCCCCCACAAGCTTTTGAAACTGTTGGTCCAACAAGGAAAGAAACCTAACAGCTTCTCACGGCAGATTTGTGTCCAACATGAAAAGAACCCTGACAATTTCTGGCAGCAGACCGGCCGCCAACAAGGATAGAAACCAGACATTTCCTGGCAGCAGATCAAAAAGGCAGCCGGACAGCTTCTCTGAGCAGGTTTGCTTGCAACGACCTGCTTCCAACAAGGAAAGAAACTGGACAGCTTCTCAAGCCAGGTTTGCGTTCAACATACAAAGAAACCGCACGTATTCTGGCAGCAGACCTGCTTCCAGCAAAGAAAGAGCCCGGACAGCTTCTCACAGTAGGTTGGCTTCCAGTATAGAAAGAAACCCGGCATTCTCCGGCAGCAGCAAGCAAGGAAAGAAACCGGGCAGCTTTTCAAAGCAGATTGGCTTCCAACATACAAAGACACCCGACATTTTTTGGCGGCAGACCAGCTTCCAAGAAGGAATGAAACCGGACAGCAGATTTGCATCCAACATAGAAAGAACCCCGACATTTTCTGGCAGCAGACCTGCCTCCGACAAGGAAAGAAACGGGACAGCTTCTCACAGCAGATTTGCTTCAAACGCGAACACTGACAAAAAAGACATTCTGAAAGGAAATGACATGTCTGGCGAAAAGAACACTTCCATGTTCATACAACTCCAAACAACAGCTCAACATGGCCATGAGCAACATCCCTGTCGGGGCGCGGGGGTGTGTTGTCGCCTCATGCCGGGTTCTTGTCGGACGTTCAACACGATCTCACCCAGATGCCAATTATGTTGCGAGGCAAGTACGTGTCAAAGTAACACAGAAGACACCTTAAGTTAAAGCTTAACTGACACGTACTTCCGGCAGTAACCAGTGTTGAGTAAGTATTTAGTTTAAATGAACTCGCATGTTCTTAATTCTTAACTCGATGTCTTATGCATCTCTTAAGAGCAATTTAAACAACATGCAAATACCTAACTCTGAGACTGTGTAGGCGAAATGTCATAGCTTGGTGAGTTATGACAACTCTGTGCACACGTCGTACTTATAATTGCATCTGCCTCAACCAAATAGGTGGTAGTCAATCTCTGATGCATTCACTTACTCAACCGCTGCATCTTAATCTTATCAACTACCTTTGTAGTTTATAACACTAACTAGTGCAATGTTTAGTTACTCCATTAGTTGTCGATGTTGGCTCATTCCATGGGTGTTCAACAGACTTTCGATTTTGCAGGGTTACTTGTAATTGACATGCAGTTACCTGCTAGGTGAATATTCACCTGTCGATCAAACATGCGTTGAACTGATTACTGTAAACACTCTAGCTGAACTTTTTGTTGATTTACGATGCATGTGTAAAGAGTAAAGAGGCGCACCAAAACCATTATCCAAACATCAGCAAACACCCTAAAACCTAAACCCTTTGGTTAAACACGTTGGTTCAACATGGTTGGGTCTTGCTTTAAGTCTCAGTCTACCTTGAGTCAAACACTGAAAGACAAGCATGTGAACATCGGTACTTTACCGAAAAAACTGTTCGATGAAAACTGAATTGTGTACAAAATTCTCTTTCTATCCAAATCCGGAAGATATGCAAATAGCGTAGTTTGTTGTTCTGTCTGCAAGTCATGAAATACCCAACAAATAACTGAAAAATTTATTTTTTGCATGATAGAAAGCAGCTCATGAATTGGAAGCGCATGAGACTTGGATGTTCTGCGAAAGTTTACAAACAGTACCATTTGTTGTCTATATTTCCCAGCTCCTGAAGACCACACTGCCCAGTTCCACACAGTCTCCGTTGAACGTTGTCGAGAGGCTTTGTGCTTAAGAAACCCTCTCTAATTCACGTTTTACACAGGCTTGATTGGAGCACGCCCGGCCAGGTTCTCCCGTTTTAAACCCCAAACCACTCACGAGACCGAAAAGCCTCAGATCCACTACGCACAAGCAGCGATGCTCGGGAAACTAGCCGGGCGACGGCGCATAGACAGAAGAACAAACAACCACACACAGGAAAAACAGCCAAGAAATCTCAGAAAGCAAAACCAACCAAAGCAAATGCAAACTACAGATGCACACAACTGTTTGCCTTCGTTGGTTCGATAGTCTTTCGGTTCTCGGGGTTTCGGCTTTTCGGGATTTACTGGCAGGCTGCCGGATGGGGACATGTGACATGAGTCAAGCAATTGAACAAGTCAAACTGAACCGATGAAAACCCAATGGTCGAGGCTTTGCACTTACCCCGGCCTGGAAAAAGCGGTTTACTGAATAAGGGGTCTACAGTATGTGACCTGAGATGCAGTCTCCTGGATGTCTCTGTCTCTGTCCTTGGACCCAGTCTCTACCGTCACCACCTCAGTCCATGCCAAAGCTGCACATGACACGAAAGCATGGAACAGCAACAATCACGATACCACTGGTAGTGACAACACATCCTTGACATCCATAGACCAGTGGCCACGATTTCCCAAAGTGCACCGAACCTCCTTGCCAGAAAAGCAAGACACACGTTATGTGTGTATATGTGTACACATTTACTTGTTTTTGTGTCTACGAACATGTATATGTATATACACATACATATATATATATATACATACACACACACACTACACTACACTGTGCTATATTGTAGTGTGCTGTAGTATAGTATGGTATGTTGTGTTGTGTTGTCTGATGTTATGTTGTGCTATGTAAAATGCCATGTTGGATTGTGTTGTATATAAACATATGTATGTATGTGTATAATATATACGCACATATATATATATATATGTATATGAATATACACATATATATATATATTAACTATATGTATGTATACATATTGTTACACACACAAATGAATGTGTGTACGCATATATATATATACATACATAATACATACTCCTACATGGGAGAACTTACAGGCTTCAGGAGCTGAGGTCAGGCCCCAGCTCCAGCTGAGATCCCAAGTCCCAGCTTTCCCGTCCCAGACTTTCGAGTGCGCTGCGCAGGTACCCTCCAGGACCACATAAAGCCTGAGCCGCTACGACGATGCGGGTCTGAGTGGTTTGAGTCTGGCATTCTTGGGGATTTCGCGACGGGAGCCAACACTGTTGAAGCTGCATCTACGACGAATCGATCACCGAGCGACAACTCTCTGCTCTGCAGGAACGGCATATGCAGGTTTCTTGACATGTCTTTGTTTGACACGTTCCGGGGTATTTGGGGCTTGCCAGGCGAGTGAATTCCAAGCTTCGGAGGGTTGCCATAGACGAGAGTGTGCTGCGGCAGGGGCGGCCCCTACAAGTAGGTGCGCGGCTCATTGCCGGTGTCACCTTGTCGGACGATGACCTGCAACGACATCTTGCGAAAGCTCTCTTCAGCGTCTTTGGGACGGAAGCTCTTGTAGGCCTGAGTCGATGTGCGTTTCAGCAACTCAACCGTAGGATCCGTACCATGAGGACAGACCCAGCATTTCAGAAGCACGAAGCCATTTGAAGCTGCGGTGCTTTAGACTAGAGGCAGCTCCTAAGCGGTGACCCCACACAGCTTATGCCTCGCCCTCTTCGAAGCACTTCTTCTGCAGCCTCAGGGTGAGAGTGGGATGCTTTGAGGACGAGGGGCAGGACCTGCAGTGAATTCCATAGGCAGAAGTGTACAGGTAGTGGTACCATAAATATCTTTCATACCCGTGGAATTGAAAGCGCATAGCAGCTGCATAGCATTCCTTGATTTTGGCCTGCACATTCGGCCGTGGATGCTCAGGGAAGAAAAAAGACCTCCACAAACTATAGACATCTATAGACTATGGAATCTAAGGCCCTATTCACTCGGATGCTGATTGTGAGTTCCCCTGTGTGACTCTAACGACTGACACTAGGGCCCCTTGCGCATCTGCCAGCTGCGCAATCTCTTCATCGTCCAGCCTTAGAGTTGCCGTAATCTGCCAGGGCCACTCACTCTTTGCTTGGACTCTAAGACACTTTTGGCCCGCTCCTATCCATTGGGGGCTGGAACTACCCTGATCTGATGGGAAACACACCATTTTCTTGATAGATGCAAAGGGCTTATGGTTCTGACTTTACTTTGAAGGGTATAGCATTGTCGGGAAATGCTCTGGGTGCAACGGGGAAGAGCACTGTCGTGCGACCGAGGTTCCTCCACCTAGCTGGCCACTCACTCACCCACCACTCAGCCGTTCTCCCGGCCGCCCACCTTCCCGCCCACCCGAACCCCCTCCGCCAGCCAGCCCCTCTAGCCCTAGCCCCCTCACGCCCTCCTCCAGCCCCAGCCCCCCACCCAGCCCTGCAGCCCTCCCACGCCCCAGCCCTCCCGCACTCTCCCACAAAATACTTCCAAGAAAGCCAGGCGCTTGTAACTGTATTTAGCCCGCATTTGCCACGTTTCTACCGCCGACGAAATGACGCAACTTTCGGATACGATTTGTTGCTGGACTTGAAGGTTGCATGGGGCTGTAGGCGCGGTGCGTCTCAAGCATCGCTGAGCGACGAAGGCATGCCTGGAAGAAGGTCAGACTTTGAAAAAGCAGCTGCATCAGGAGCACCAAGTTCACGTGAGCACAAACGAAGATGCCCCGGCAGGAGGACGAAAGTAGTGAGGCCGTGGCACTTTCTATATCCAAGGATGCATAATTAATGCACGCTTTCTTCCTCGCCCTCTTTTGTCTGCAATACTCCGGCCTCGCGCCGGCTGCGTTCCTTCATCTCGTTGCGCACCACCAAATTGCGGAAAACCTCCGGGAGCCGTGCATGAAAGCTTGCCCGGGCCATGCTCAGAACCCTATTTTCTGCATTTCAAGCCTGGGCCGAGCATCCCATATGGGACTTTCGGGGTCCCTTATAATAAGGATCCTACTATTCATGGGTACTAGAAAGTAGGCTCCCCCTACGTTCGGAAACCCCCCGCTATGGAGCCCAGCTTCCCCCCTTAGCTGAAGTCTTAGCCTGCACCCGGCCTCCTGCGTCAAGACACCCAGAACTGCCTGCTGCTGGTCCACGTACCTCTCATCACACACAGCTTTTTCTGGAGAAAAGCAGGCTGATGCACGCTGTGAGTGGATAGTAGCCATAAGAGCCGATTAGCTCCTCAATTTTCGGAAATCCCGGCGTACACGCTGCGGGTCCGTGGTGTGCTCCAGAGCATGGAGAACTCCCCAAAGAGGCGCCCTCTGGTGAGGGGGCGCACGAAAACCTCAGACTCACTTGAAGCGGAGAGTTTTGGCTTGGGAGCTTCGGGACATGGTGACATGCTGCCGAGTATGTCCGGCCAGTATCCTTATCATAAAGGTGAGATCCTAAATCTTCTTTTTTCACTTGTTCACGTGAGCGCAACTGCAAGAGCAACACGGGCAGGAACAGCTCATCCCAGCATCGACTCTGGCAGAAGACCAGTCTTCACTTGGGTCATAGGTAGTTGCGTCATTTCCTCGATGCAAACAGCTGAGTGGCCCACCTGGGCTCCGTCCGGGTCGGTCTCCGGGTCCGGCTCCTTCCAAGCTCAACTCATACACCAAATGCGCATCTACGTGGATTGAAAAAAGCGATGTTACGCGGTGCTTTAGTAACTTTATAGTAGTCCTGGAAGACGTTGATGACGTATGCACAGTCCTTAGACAGAGCTTTCGTAGCGGGCCCAGCACATGTCAGCATAAGCACCTCTCTGAGCAGTGGAACGTGGCACCGAGCTCCTGGCATCCCGAGCACCCTGCCGGCAAACAATCGCTCCTGATGGAATCTCGCACAAGCCCTGGGGAAGTAAGCGTCACTTCCGGATCCGACCCCGCCTGGATCGAAAGTCTGGACGGGCATGGCTCGGACCTCTCGGCGGGACATGTGCAAAAGTCTTGGAAGTAATCCCTGGGCCACTGGGCCACGTCGTCCGGCCGGATGCTATCTGCTCTCCCGAAGACCGATGTTACGTGCTCGTCATCCCAACGGCCGCGAAAACTTCGACGCAGGCCACTCTCGCAGCATGCGACTGCAACGGCTGCCGGCTGAACCAAGATCCGCTCTGACATCGCTGTACTTTCTGCAAGAGGGTCCTTACACCTGCAGGTGATCGCCAAATCGTGTTGTGAGGTTCGCGCGAGAGACTCGAGAGTGTCATCATCGATCTTCTTCATGAAGGGACACTGCCTCTTTTCAGTGACTGTCTTGAAGCAAACAGTGCACACACTTGACGTCTCCCAGTACTTTGCAGGAAGCTCTGGCCTAGTTATGCTTACGCCATGTCAACATCAGCCGCAAGAGACGCGCATGGCAACACGATGCCAATTCCTGACCACAAGCTCTTCGTTGAGTTGCTACGATCTCGAAGTTGGGCTCGGTCACAGTCTCGTGTCGAAAGGGGTTTGTTGACACTTGCTGAATCCCAATCCCCGCGGCCATGCCTCAATGCCTCGCGGAGCGCGGCACTTTGCCTGGGTGCAAAGAGAAATCTTCGTTCCACTTGGACTCTGGAACTGTCACAGCATGGAGATCACAAAGCACCCGGAAGCCAAAGAGTAGAGAGCCCCCATGGAGAGCATCAAAACTGGCACTAAACTACTAATAATCTTCTCGTCCCAGGAGCTCTGCGGTCTTGCTTTCTTCAGGCGCTGTCCTGCAGTTTCAATCAAACGACAAAGGCAAACATCGCCGGTTCGAAATATGCGCTGTGGGTGAAAGAGCATGCTGCCCTTTCGGTGATGTCTCGGCAGTGCCCTGTGAAGGCTGGCGGGGACACGTTGAGAAGGAGTTCAGGCTCTGTCCCCCAATCTGAACCTCGGGGTCTGAAGTGCAGGGATCTGAGGCTCCCACCAAGAGACATTCCATCCGCTCGAGGACTGGAGCAGACAAGATTTCAGGAAGCCACGCGTCCGATTGGTCAAAAAACATGTGCAATGTCGCGTTGCACAGGTACAGCAAGAGTGCAGATTGCAAGTTTGGGCCCACTCGCCCAAGGCAAGCCTGCGCCGTGACGCCAAAGCGCCTCGTGCGTGACACTGCAAACAACGAGCTGCCGGAACTGTGCCACTTACTGCGCCAACACAGCATCAACTGCTTCGCCTCTTTTTGCTGTTTGCGAGAATTAAAGCTGTACATGAAAAACTGAGACAACCGGGCGGCCTCTGCGTCGCACGCGTTGCAAGCCCGGAGGGCGGGCGCAACGCGGACGCCTCGGACGCTTCCGTGGAGCAGTGCGCAGAAACGGGTGAGTTTGTTGAAGATCGCTCGACATGCCACCTCAAGGAATCAGGCACACCACGGTTCACGGTAATTAGCTCACTTCGGGCGGGGCCTTCGGTGATTGCACGTCCGCCTGTCAGGTCAGGTTCGGACACAAAATCTTTATACCTTCCGCAGTGCAAACCCCTGAAGTGTCAGCGGGCTGAAGCAGCGAGTCGTGCATTGCATGTTGGTTGCAGAAACGGGGCAGAGAGGGAGAAAGGAGAGGGTATACGGTATACACCCGCATGTCTCGCCGGCAACTACCTGCGAAGCCTCCTCCTCGCTGCTGTTCAGACTGGCAACCTCGTCTGCATCCTGGCTTTGACACCATGTCGGGCTGAGAAAAGACTCCGAAGCAATGCGCAAGGCCTACTTTGAGGGCTATGCTTTATCGACTGTCGCTGCTATGCTAACAAAAAAGAGGGCTTTTTTGTTTCCCTCACCAACCAACATCGAGGCAGGTCTTGAACTGGCAGCGACGCCAGCTAGTGAAAATGGTAGACTGCATACACCTCTTTGGAAAAAACTCTCCGGTGTTGGACACCAAACACTTGCCTTCAATTGTTCACGAGTTTGATCATTGACAATTGACCTTTCGTTATTATCGGTTATCTTTTGCTAAAGCTAATCTTGCCTGTGTAATTACAGAACCAGGAGATGCTAAAGTGTCAATTCGTGCAAGCTGGATGCGAGCCGAAAATGCATGACAGCTTCGAAGATGTGCAGATACTTCGTCGTCAAGGAGTGCTAGACCGAGCCAGCTATCGCTGCAAGAGCCGCCACGTTTCACAGAGCTGGTGCCTCTGTTTGGGTCGGTGGCTCGCTGACCTGAAGGCTGTGGCTGCGACTACACTGGGACGCTGGAGGCAGTGCTGGATTACTTGAATTAGTATGTATGTATGTGTATGTATGTATGTATGTATATATATATATATATTTGCGTTCCAGAAGAACAAACCACGATATGCGTTTACCACCATGACCATACGGCTTCAACTCCTCGTGGTGGCAACTGAAGTCACTGGTATAGCCAGAGACAAGCCCTCCATTCTTCCATGTTCAGAATCTGCTTCTTGAAATCAGCGTGTTGATTGCGAACGAACCCTCTCTTTCCGTGCTCTTCCGTAGACTGGGGTTGCCGGATTGCACACGTCAATTTCCAGCCACGAGTGTGGTGACAAGATTGAACCAAACAGGCTTCTTTGGCTCCTCAAGCCCCGAGTTGAACATTTAGCGAGTCTCTTTGAAAAAACAGGCCCCCGGTCGTCTAGTGCCCATGTGGTCAGCTGGCCGAACCAGCCAGAGAATGCTGAGGTGTGGACGGGCTCCAAATCTACCCCGCTGCTCTGCAATCACCACTAAACAGTGGCAACTACAAGTGAAGCAACTTCGGTATCTACGTGAAGAGTGACATCATGCTCTGGCTCTACTGCGACGGCGAGGACTCCTGGTACTGCGATCGATACTTCCAGTTGCTACACCTGAGTTTGAACAAGAGGTAACACACAGAGACGCGCACACACACACACAATAACGAGCGCTGCACTAGTTTTTGCGAGCCACACGAACGTGGCGACTGTGAACTGGTTGTCTCAAGTACCATTTGGCTGAACTCGAGGTGCGACATACGGCTGCCTAAGATACTATACTATACCATACACTGTACTATACTATACTTTACTAAATCATCATATGTTATACAGTACTGTACTAGGGACTACCTAATAAGGCTACTGTTCCAAAACCCGAAGTAGCCAGAGGCTCGTACATCATCCTCTCCATCCACGTCGTAGCTTTGACTCTCTGCTCGCCCTCGCAACCTTGGGAGACAAAAGCTTCGGGCTGAGTACAAAAGCGTACTGCCATCGAACAAGGTCCAGCGTCCTCCAAACAGTCGGATCCTGAAGCTCCACGTAAAAGTCCCTCAACAAAGCAAAAAAACCCAAGATCCCCTAGTAGGATCCTCCTTGCCGACATGAAGCAGTGATTCTAGCAGACAGCAACACTTACCCTTACAACAAAATCCTGCAAAGACCCGATACAACCTCTCAAACACAACCGGCTAAAGCTCTCGAAATCCCTAAACCCTAGACCCTAAACCCTTTTTTTGCAATCTCCTAAAGCAACAGCTCTCCAGCTGATGTCAGAGGATTTTTGACCTCTTGGGATCTGGCAACGTCGTGTCCAGGAGATCCACTGGAGCCTCGGTCTCTGTCACGGGCTTAGGGTTTATATAGGGTTTTTATGGGGTTTATATAGGGCTTATATAGGGTTTAGGGTTCAGGGTTTAGGGGGTTTGGACTCTAGGGGTTTAGGGAATTTTAGGGTTTGTAGGGGTTTATAGGGCTTGTAGGGTTTATATAGGGTTTATACAGGGCTTATATCGGGCTGATATAGGGTTTATATAATAAGGTTTCTCGGGTTCAGGGTTTAGGGTTCAGGGTTTGGGGTTAGCCTTGAAACCTCTGGGTGGCCTGAAGACGACATCTTGCTTCTTGCGTCAAGACTAATCATGAAGCCGCTGATTCATCTAGAGTTCCAGCTGTTGTACTCGGCATGTGGCCTCATTCCTGCCGTCATCGATTCTTTTTACCACAGCTGCAGGTCGCACAGCCAGTCCAGGAGGAGCAAGAACTAATAGTCAGACTCCTTCAGTCCTCGTATTGGAGGTTCTGAAGCTGCGAAGGCAATGGCTTTGAGATCGGGGTTGCGAGACTGACGGGTCGATCTGTTGGAACCTGGTTGGAACGTTGTCCTGGAACTGCAGACATAGGAAACAACGCTCACCGCAATCCAATCCCTGAAGTGACTGAAGTGACTGACACGAAGGGTTTTTTTTAACACAGTTTGGCTAATTAAGTCGGCTAAGTTTGACCACAGCATCAGATGCTGTGAAGGGATGCAGAAGAGGCCGGCCAGCTCTCGGGAATTTCATGGAGCTCCCTGCAGGGCTGAAGTCAAATGCGCCTGCAGGGCTGCGGCTCATGGAGGGCCCAAAGAGGACTCACCCCTGGCCGAAGACGCAAGGCCTCTGAGCTCGTTTGTTTTAGGGGGTCTTTGCATCTTAATGCTAAGACACACTAATAGAAGATTCGCGCACGCTTTGCTGCAATGGTGGGCGATGACCCTTCCCAGAGACCCCAGTGAACTGGGGCTGTACACAGAGATCCTAGAAGCCTCACTCACTTCGTGCGTTCAAGGATAGCACCTTCAGTCTGAAGGGAAGAGCTGGACCGTATATCTGAGAAGCTGACCGAGCCAAAAATATCAATCAGAGACAGCTTTCTGCATCACTTTTTGGAGCCGAGGCCGAGGTGCTCATCTCGCTGGGCGTCTCCTTGTCCGAGGCCATCCTCAGCTGCGCTGCGTATTTTCGGTGCACACACACGGGGGCCGCACCTGATCGCCGAAGCCCTGGCTCACAGATGCCCTGTGGTAGAGGCAGGCCCTCTATCGGCTGAAGGCGGCCCAGCGTCGCACGGATGTTCAGCACGGCGGCAATCAGCAGTATCATTGCAGCCACGACCTCTTGAGATGCTGTCTTCTATGCCCGCCTTTTGCGGTGCTGGGCCCAGTGGCAGGAAGCGGCTCCTCTTGGACCCTCTGCGATGCAAGGATAACATTTGGTATGGGGCTTGTTTGCGACCCATAACTGCATCCATGTCAGGAAGGCTCTGGAATTTGATCATGACCACAGAACTTGCTCAAACAGCCTCCGCTAAAAAAAACACACATCTCAGGAGACAACGTGGTTTGTCGGGAGTAAATACATGCAAGTTGATAGACGGCAGGGACACAATCTCTATCAGCCAAGATCGGCACCGCAATACTTCCCTAATTGGCTTCATCGCCGATCATTGATGCATGACAGCTCCTTCCCGTTACCTCTCGCCCGCTCCACACGAAATTCGGAACAGGCGGCTCGAAGGCCAGGGTGGGAGTCCGAAAGCCTCGATGCACAGCTACCCGGACAGACTCACGGAGCCCTGTCCGTAATGAGCACACTGACCCCGAAAGGTCAACATAGTCTAAGAGTTCCAAAGACCAGAAGCAGGAGCTCCGAGACCAGCCACACCGTGTTGGCTATCCTCAGGAGCACGACAGCTTTGAACGAAACGTTGCTTGACAAGTTCTGCATCCAGCGTATGACATCCGTCCAAACCGCGCTAGTGTCTTCAAACACTGCTGCCAAGCATTTGGTCCTTTCATTGCTCTTCTTCAGTACGACCGTGCGCTCTCATGACTCGTTGCAGCCCAGGAACAGCCATGTAGTTTCCGCCAGGAACAGGCTGCCTTTTCTCATGTCCGGTTTGCTTTCGACGATACCCGATCTTTGCTCCACAAGTCCCTGAGCCTCTGCGGTCTTCTTTCAGGGAGACAGCACGAAGGAGCAAGGCCAGCCTCAAGCAAAGATCCCGGGGGCCAAGCAAAAATTCCAGAGTTTTGCTGCTCAGGGACACCATGGCGGAGCAGAAGAGCGCCTGAGCTGAAACCCGAAGAGCTGAGCTTCGGCTCCTTTTTAGCGATCTGCGCCAGAGGCATCTGGTTCATCTCAAACTATCTCCAAAACCATCTCGATAAGCTTCATCTCCACTACGACGACTACGAGATTACACGGAAACCTGCTTCAGAACTGGTTTTTTTGTCTCGAAGTTGCTGGCCACACGCTTGCCGGCCACACGTAGGCCAGGAGCCAAAAGAAGTCCTCTCGTAGCTCTCCGGGCAGCAGCAGACGGTTTTGGGGCTCACACGCAGGGACGATGCATAGCTTTAGGGCGATTAGGCTTGAGAGTTACTAGAGCGGAAGACTCTTGGGGAATTTTGGGGCTTAGGGCCCCTGCCAAGAAAACTCAGACATCAGGACATGGTCGAAAGCTTGGAGTGGCGGTCGTGCTCCGGCGTGTGTTTGATCTTCTGGTTTCCAGGGGTAGCTCTGCACATCGACGTA